TATTTCCTAGAATCCTAGAATTGTTTAGGTCGGAAAAGACATTTGTGACTGGAGAATAACCTCCAGGCCTCCCGGAGCTGCTCAGCGGTTAGAGTTGAGCGCCAGCTCCACGGAAACCTACCTGCAGAAACGTGAAAGGCCGGCGCATGGGGGTGTTCGGCCTGGAGAAGAGGAGGCTGAGGGGAGACCTGATCGCTCTGCAGCTCCTGGCAGGAGGGGGCAGGGAGGGGGTGCTGGGCTCCGCTCCCAAGGAACAGCGATAGGACGAGAGGAGATGGGCTCAAGCTGCGCCAGGGGAGGGTTAGGTTGGATATTAGGAGAAATTTCTTCACGGCAAGAGTGGTCAAGCATTGGAACAGGCTGCCCAGAGAGGTGGGGGAGTCCCCATCCCTGGAAGCGTTCAAAAAATGGGCAGAGGTGGCACTTGAGGACATGGTTTAGTGGGCATGGGGGTGTTGGGTTGACAGTTGGGCTGATGATCTTAGAGATCCCTTCCAACCTTCATGATTCCTAGTTTTTCCTTTCATTAAAAAATGATCTAGCCACCAAGCGAGGAAACATGCAATTAATTATGACTCTACCCTTAATTGTTTTAGTGGTGGACTTGGTAGTGTTAGGTTAGTGGTTGGACCTGATGATCTTAAAGGTCTTTTCCAACCTGAACAATTCTATGATTCTATTCTGAGCACCCTGATCTCGTTAAAGCTGTCCCTGCTCACTGCAAGGGGTTGGGCTGGACGGGCTCTAAAGTTTCCTTCCAACCCAAAGCGTTCTCTGATTCTATATGAGTCAGTCTCATACAGAAATGCGTAGCCCCGCACTGTTCCCGGTTGGGGTTTTTTTAGTGGCCATTTAACGGCAGGGTCCCTGAGTAGGTGCCAAGTTTCCGAATAGCGAGGAAACAGAAAGTGCCCCGGGGGCTCTGCTCCCCACCGTGGCTGCAGCACCAAGTGCTGCCCGACATCGACCGCCATCTCCGGGTGGGAGACGTTGGCACTTATCTGTGCATGGTCTATCCCACCTCGTGGTGAAGCCCCTGAAAGGGGACGAGTGATGGATGTGTGAATTACATCGGGGCATTTGTGGGTGTCATACGAAATAGCGGCAGCGGCAGCAAATCTGAGGTGCGGAGAAACCCATTTTCTCAGGGACAGAGAGAGGCCTGAGCAGTAACGTTAATGGCTGAGTCCTTCGTTCTTGGTCAGCTGTGGGACTTCATAGTGGCATTGGAGATGCTTAGCAGGAGTGCCTGTTCTGGAAAGAAACTCTTCCCCAAACAGCATCACCCCTCTGGCTCCATGGGGGTTCCTAGCCAGGCAGATATTTCCTGTGTGCCCCTTGGTTCCAATCCGTATCAGTTCAAGACCAGTTGCTTCTCAATCAAAGAACCACCACCAACAAAAACCCCAAAGCAACAAAAACCCACCCTAAGTCATAAATGAAATGTTAACACTTCTCTTCATGCATTTTCCCTGTTAACGAGCACTTTTGCTGATCTCGGAGAACGGGAAGGACATTTGGTAACAGGAGGATGTGAACAGGTTTATTCAGACCACCGGGTGGCAAGATTAAAAAGCAGCAGTAGATTGTAGGTGCAGCTTGATCCCGTTAAAACTAGCGATATGAACTTTTGTTTCCTGGCGCTCACATGAAGCATGAGTAAAGTGTTGGAAATGACAGGGAGAGAAGCTGCGGTGCTAGCTGCGGCGTTGTTCTCCAGGACAGCCAGGAAGCACGATTATATTCCCAGTGAAATTACAACAGTGAAAGCTCAAAGTGGAAATAAATTTAAAGAACCGAGAATTAGAATGAATAAAGCAAAGATGGGTCTGATTAGCTTAAGATCCTCCTCCTCTTGTGTGAATCTCTTTCGGAGGAATTCACAATGCTCCAAACGAAAAAATAATTCACAGGAAGATTCTCAGTGGGCATTAGACTCAGCAGATCTGGGGTCAGGAAAACATTCAGAGCGAAAGAAAGACACTCTTAAAACTTATTTACTGCTTTAAATCAAGAAAAATTTTTCAAAGTCTGAAAAGTTCCCAAGAAGTAAACTCAGGACACGATGAAAAGAGAGGTAGCTGTAATGCTGCTTCAGGCTGAGGAATTTAAACTGAAGTTACAAACATACGGAGAATGACTTATGTTCATCAATTCAGAATAGTACAGTCTTCTTAAAACCCATGTAAACACCACACAGCATCACAGCAGTATCTTCTGAACGGACTTGCTGGTACTCAGCAATTTCTTCCAGTCCTTCATCTCACCAGTTTTGTTATCATTGCCAAGTCTTTCATGTCATCCTTTGCTAAGTGAAATCAGAGAAGTGAAAGGACTTGAACATCTCTTCTCTGGATGAGGAAACCCTGACAAAATTCATTGAGTAGGTTCTGATTCATCGCACAACAAGCTTACGACGATAATATAACTGATTCTGTGCTGTCCGTGCTGCTTCCCAATCTTCTGACTTCAGAACAATCACATGCATGGCTGCTAGGCCATCCACATGATGAATTTATCTATCTTAAAAATAAGCTCACTCTAAAGGAAAATACGGATAGAACAGCATACTAAATCTAACAATAATGGAAACGGTCACACAAAAAGTTTGTTCAAATGGTGCCAGAAATGAGGAGAAGGAGCAGTTTATATAGAAAAATAATTTTTAAATCTTTGGTAACAATGAATTCTTCAGATTTTTACAGTACTTGTAATCTAAAAACAGTCTTCTATTATTCATGTAAGTATATTTTATAATTTATTTCCTAGTATACTTTATTAACAGAACTTCTATAAAAGCAGAAAACAAAAAGTCAGAAAGATATGAAGAAAATGTCTTATCTGAAGAAACAGATATCTGAACTGGGTTCTAAAACATGTTTCTTAATGAGTGCATCTCGTTACTCTGCTCACATAATACCAAATTTTCCAGATAAAAAGTTTGGTTTTCCTTGGGATGTGATATTCTTTCCATCGCTTGACTTTGAAGGCATGTCTATAGTAATATATCTAATTTGAAAACCACCAGCAGTCACTGAGGCATCTGACAAAAACTTCAAGGTCATAACATTGCCTGGGACAAGAAAAACAAAAAACAAAGGTTATGTTTTGGGGTGGCATAAAAATGTGATATTTCAGAGTTATTTTTAAAGTGCTCTTCCTTGCTTGCTTCTGGGAACTTTAGAAAAATCCACCTGGTCTGCGTACTTTGGAGCTGCGGCCTGGGAGGATTATAGTTGCATTAGCCTCATGGAAAACCAGGCACATTTCCATCAGCCTGCTTTGTTTGCAGAGCCCAGAAGTCGACAGAGTTGTGCTGTACCCGGTGCTTTCTGCAAAGCGTTTCTGGTTCTTTAAAATGCTGCTCTGCTTCACTCTACCCGTGAAATGTCACGCTTCATGTGTGAGACGCATCTGGCATAGAATCATCGAATCGTTTAGGTTGGAAAAGACCTTTGAGATCATCCAGTCCAACCATTAACCAACACTGCCAAGTCCACACTAAACCAGTCAAGGGTAGACTAGACTAAACCATGTCCCAGAGTGCCACCTCTGCCCGTTTTTTGAACGCTTCCAGGGATGGGGACTCCACCACCTCTGTGGGCACCTGTTCCAATGCTTGACTACCCTTTCCATGAAGAAATTTTTCCTAATATCCAATCTAAACCTCCCCTGGTGCAGCTTGAGCCCATTTCCTCTCGTCCTAAGCCTCACGGGTCTCTAGGTGACACAGGGGTGAGGTTGCTACATCACTCTCCCATGAGAGTCATCTGCTCATCTCCACCAGGCCCACGTAAACTGGGAGATCTGACACAATTCAACTTTTCTGCTCTCTTTCTGCCGATTACAGCTGTGGGCTGGAGTGTGGTAACGTGAGTTTCTGCACAGACGATCCATAGACCGTCCCAGGGAACATGGCCACTTCCTCACACAGGTAGCCGGCGGGACATCCATGCTAGAGCGACTTTGCGACGCTTGAGCAAAGACAGGTTTATAAAAGTGGCTTTGATTTACGTCTAATCAGACCTTGACCTGCTGTTTTAAACATACGCACAGAATAATGTCTATAGCCAGCTTTAGAACTGCTCTCGCAATCCTTGCTCTCGAAATGGGAGAAATGGGAGCATGATCGTGTGCGTAGGCAGGGCTCGGTTACTGACTACAGATCTGCCGTATCAAGGTGCCTGTGTGAGAACTCCTTAACGTGCGTAGGTGTACTACCTCTGTAAGGCCAGCGGGATGCACCCTAGTTATCTTCTAACGAGATTTTTTTTTTCTTTTACATTTATTTAGAAGTAACTGCATTGATGAAAGAGCATGCTGGCAGTTTTGAATAGCAGTTCACAACATGCTGGCCATGGAGCAGAGATTGCGTGTTTGGACATCTTTACCATATATTATTAGAAAGTAGGGACAAAAGGTGATTTTGGCTGGGTGTTTTTTTTTTTTTTTTTACCATAAAGAGTGCAAATATATTACCTGTGCTAATGATATCATCTGGCAACTCATCTCCACAAAACCTGGAAAAAAAAGTATAAATGGTCATGACTAAACGACACAGCAAATATGCCATACCCCTGCTATATGGGGACCTACGCTGACCGGTGGCTCACAGGCTGTACTCTCTTTTGGAGCTGTGGCTCAGGCGGATAAATTGGTTATAGGTATTCTGTGTATGTAATTCTCCTCTCGATGTTAAAGCAATTGCCTAAAGGATTTTTGTCATTATCTTTTAGTACGCTTTAGGGGAGGGAAAAATGCAGGAAACATTTTTCAATATATGCAGGAAGTAAATGATGCAAAACAAGAAAAAGAGCAATTTAACACGGCATTAAGGAAAAGAACGATGGCCCCGAGGCTAAGAAAGAAAGAACATTGTCGAGAAAAACATTTAAAACTATCTGCAAAGGCAAAACAAATGGACTATATCCTTGCTTTGCTACACAAGATTTGCAGAGAGGATGTGAAAAGTGGCAGGAATTGGGAAGTGTTTTTTATCACTTTTTCTGGTTTATTTTTTTTGTTCTGGAAAATTGAAGTACTTCATACCAAAATACGACTACTAAAGGACAAGCAAAAATATGATGTTGAAGAAAAGAAAGTGAGAATTAAGCAAAGAGGGAAACTAAATCTAGTAAGAGAGATGATATATAACACTTGTTCTGTCCTGATATTGTTAGAAAATATTTTACTTCTGTAGCGAATAGTAACTTAAATTAAATACATTTTTGCCATCAGTTTAACACCCCACCTCCCTCCTTTCAGTTAAAGTAAATACAAAATACTGTTTGAGATTGCTCGGAGTTCTTCCTGTAAAGTGATAGAGAATTAAGATAAGCAGCTAACTAAAAAGTCTTGCAGCTTGCTTTCATGTAATTTAACAAAGCAGAAAAGGGTAAAGTTCAAGTCTCTGAAAGTCTTTACAGGCCTGTGTTAATGACAGTAAAGTAAATTGGCAGGAAAGATAAGTCAGGTGCTATTGCTACAAGTACTATGAGCATATCAGAGGTGCTAATTGGATAAGGTAATATATTGTTCTCCTGAAGTAATGTTCAGGGGGAAAAAAATTAAATCATTTGATTATTTGCATATTAAAGCTGGAATTGCTTTACCTGCCCACGAAGCCATTGATATCATCATAGCTATCATAGACTTCCAAGAAATCAGCCATACAAGCAATGTCATCTTCCACATCAAACTCTAGAAACTGTAGATGAATACGTTGTCCATACTTCACTCTAATATGCCAGTAGCAAATTTGGTCATTTTCGTACTCATTTGGGTAGCCTGGTGACTTAAAAACATGTTTTGAATCTGTGAAGACTCCACCACATTCTTTTGCTAAGAGAAAAATAAAAACATCAGAGTTTAAGTATTCATTCTGGATATGGCTATGGGTTAAATCTTTGTGCACTTCGACCCAGCAGATCCGTAAGAAAATCGCATGGGAACACCCAGCGTGGTAGCACTTTTCATGTATTTAAGCACCCGGCATTCACAAGAAATGTCAGTCATTCCTAGCTTTTGGGAGCCGATATTTTGGAAACAAGAGGCATGATCCAAATCTCACTGATTTCAGAGGAAAAGCTTTCATTGACTTCAGTGGACTTTGGGACAGAGCTAAGTGCTTTATGCAAAAGGTGTTCAGGGCTTCTGGCAGTGTCAGACTGTAAGCTTTACAGCTGTACTTGCAAGTCACCCTGGCATTCAGTTTCATCCTTTCTTCTTCAAAAACTTCTTGAACGTGTGTCTTCTACAAAAGAACTTAAAAAGGCTAGTGACCACATACATTGCATTGTACTCCTGTTACCGCTGCAGCTCTTCACTCCCTTTGGAGCGTCTCCTCTGGGACGAAGAACACTCATTCCGGTTTGATTCAGTGGCCATTTGAACTTCACCAGCTCCCCGACAGCGGGACCAAACAATTTGGGGACCTCCGACTGCCTGACTTTAGGATTTGTCATAGCTCCCCAAGTTCAGAGCTGGGGGAGAGGGCCGTACTTTCTAAGGGTGATTGAGGACACGTGAGTTAGGAGCCTGGAGCTGGGTAGTGTGATTAACCCTCTTAAGCTGTACATCGTCCGCGAGTCTCGTACTTCTCAGCTCCCGAGCATTGCTGGGTTGGAGGTACATTTCAAACGTGCAAACGGTGCCACAAGCTCCTCTCGACGTCTTTAGCACCCTAGAGAAGAGCACGGGCTCAGTTCAGTCAGAGATTTGTCTTTGTTCCCCCAGGCTACTTGTCTCCCACCTGCAGACAGACAACTCTCGCCAGGCTTTGCAGCAGACTATCGGTCAAGCATGAATACATATCCTTTCAGCGGGAGAGACTCAAGCCCTCTGCCGAGTGTTGGCAGTTCTGGTTTCCTTTTGTCCTCTAACCAAACAGTGCATTTGGAAAGTAACTACCTCTCAGCCCAGAGGAGAAGGCTGACAAAGGCGAGAGTCGGGCTGTCAGTTTACATGCAGTAATAATGAATGCAGTAGTCTCTCTTGCAGTTCCCTTTGTGTGCTGAACATCTGTGAATGTCCCCCACCCCACAGAGCTATTTGATTAACAACTGCCCAGCTAACATAAACAAGCTGAAGCCCTGCGAGCACAAACAAAACGTGCACAGCTGTACAGACGTCATGGACAACTCCAGCTTTTGGCTCTGCCAGGCAGGGCAGTGCACTTGGAGTAGCAGGAGAGCCAAGCAGTGCACGAAGTTAAGCTTTGCTTTGCTTGTTGGTGCCTACTTTTCCTGTCTTCCCTGCTATATGAAGTGATACCAAGCTAAACTGAAACAGCGTCCCTGTCGGTATTTCAGTCATGTGCAGTGTAGTGAGTGGATGGGAATGGAGGGATGTCCCATATCTGGTGAAGTCTTGTCAGTCACGGTTGAACTGTGTCTCCAGATCTGCTTTGGAGATCCGCTTTTCTTCATCTAGTTACGCACACACGCGCGCGCACACACACACACACAAGGCACTGCTGGGAGCTGGATCTCTCAGGTGTTTCGGTCCCAGACATGGCATGCATTTTCAAAAGTTGTTCTATCTCAGGCACAAGAAAGAAGGAATACAGGTTAACACTAAATTTAGCCTGTTCACAGGCAAAATATCTGGAAACTGGTTCCCCTGTTAAACACCTCAGATTAGTTATTTAAATGAAATCGTAGGCTAAATGTAAACGCTCTTATACAAAACAAGACATTCGCACATCGCGTTGGGAATATTGCTTACCTTTTTAATCAGCAACAGCATATCATTACATTTTTAGTTTCTGAAAGGACTCTGCTTAGAATTATAGAATCATATAATGCTTTGGGTGGGCAGGGCCCTTCAGAGCCCACCCAGCCCAGCCCCTGCAGTGCCAGGGACAGCTTTAACCAGCCCAGGGTGCTCAGAGCCCCGTCCAGCCTGGCCTGGGATGGTGCCAGGGATGGGGCCTCCACCGCCTCTCTGGGCAACCTGGGCCACTGCCTCACCACCCTCACTGTAAAACATTTCTTCCTTATAGCCAGTCTAAATCTATTCTTCTTTAGTTTAAATCCATTACTCCTTAGGCCCGTTATATATGGTACAATGCAGTGCAGAGACACTGAGCTCTGAGCAAGCCAGATTAGCTACAGGTAACATGGTGCAAGGCTCCAAATAAATTTGTGCCGATACGCACCCCCTTCTCAGACAGCGTATTTATGTTATCCAAGCTAACTCATTCAGAGCCTGGCTGCCTTTGCGCAGACAGATGGCATGGTGTGTAGTCATAATCTTAGACCCGGAGAGCAATGGGTTGTTTTTAAACACACCGTTAGGGTTGTAGCAGTAGGCATCCCATCTCTCGCTTCTGTTGAGGCGAATCCCGTAATCGACAATACCGGTTTTTCCAAAGCCACAGTTGGCTCCAGCTTTTACTATGGGATAACCAACTCTGCCCTTCGCCATCCAGCCAGCAGCACACACGTGGAAACCTGCAACGGGGAGAAAATGAGACACGGATGTGGTAAACCAACCCTAGGCAAGAAACTCCACTTTTTATTCAAGTAAGTAAAGTCTTACTCAAGCTGATCAATGACTTGGGTGTCATTGGCCTAATAGAAATTGAACTACAGGAAAGAACAGTACTTTGAGAGGATAACTTTAAACACAGAATATATAACTGCATTGTGTTCTCCACAATATGATTATTGGTTCTTCATCTGAAAACAAAAATCAAATGCAGATGGACTATGTAGTTTCCCAGGTAGTGAGTTTTAAGTGCTGTACCAGCATTTCTAATCAAGTTATGTACTGGCTGCTTTATATAAGTGTGTTCTTTGTTTCCCTTTTAAGTCATACAAATTTTCTCAATCGTATCTCAAGAGTTTTCGGCATTAAGTTCTGAGAATGAATAAAATACTACATACAAAAGACAGCTAAGAAAACGAAGTATTTACTTAAAATACTTTCAATTTAAATTTAAATACCTGAAATACCTCAAGTATTTCTTGCTAAACAAAAAGATCCTGTTAATGCATTTTCTGGTCGAGACCTTAAAAACAATAGCCAAAGAATGCAATGTTATTCACTGTCTGGTAGAGACCGAGTCAATGTTTTCACCGAGACGAACTGGAACGTACTTGTGGCGTCCTAGGACTATGAGCTACTCAGAAGAGACAAAAGTACCCTTTTTACACATGTGCCGGTGCTGGGAGCCAGCTTCTGACTCAGCGGCGTAGCCTGCAGATTTCTAGAGTGGAGGATATTTTCCTTTGTTTTCCTAATGCTCTGAATGAATTAATAATTTCTTATGGAATCAAATAGAAATACAGTAGAGCCCTCACTCAGCTCCACTTTCCACTCCAAGCACTCTCTCTCAGAGCAAATACGGCTGGAATAAAGATTATGAAAAGATCTCGACCGACGATATGAAAAATAGCGATGCACATTTACTAGAGAAGCTCCCCGGAGATAAACGCCTTCCCCTGCAGCCCCCAGGTGCCGTAGCTGGGGAGGTGCCCTTGCTTCCCAGCTCAGGCAGACGGCTCTCCGCCCGGTGCTGCTGGCTCCGGGACCGTGCTGCACCCAGAGCTCCGGGGGATGCGTAGCCCTGTGTGCAGATGTTATCCCTGACAGCTCTGGAGGTACCGCAGTCAGGCTCTGTTACGGAAGGGGGAAATTGCATGCAACTCGGGCAAAAATCCAGGGAGTTCGCAAGTCTCTCAAGAATTCACAATATTCATGAAAATACAAGGCTGGCAACATTATGAATGAGCGATGCGAAAAGCAAACAGCCGTGATTATTTTTTTTCGAACCTATTTTTCTCGCCGCCTCCAGCTGCTGATACGTGGCTAGATGTCCTCCCTCGTATTCACAGACTGCTTTTGCTTCTGCGTAGGTGAGCTGGTACTTCCCAGAGCGTGACTCCCTGTGATACACTCCAGCTGCTCGTTCTGTGGGACCAAAGCAATAAATAATTTCAGTATTGTATCTCTGCTGGCCCACCTTCCGGGGTGCTCTCACCGCCTCCAGCAGTTTCCCCGAGACCTGCACTTTGGGCTACTGTCCACGTGAGAAGAGAAACAAGATGTTCAGCTAGTAGCTGTGCCACTTGGAAAGCATCAGGAAAAGATGTCCCTCCCAACCCCAGCAAAAGCTGTCCCTCCCAACCCCAAGGCATGTTTTTGCAACCCAAAGGTATGTTTTTGTTTGGGAGAAGTGTTGAACAACAGAGCCAGTCAGAGCTTGGTGAGCTTTTGAACAACAGAAAATCAACAAACGCAGGGAAGGACTCCCCGAGGACTACTCAGAAGGCAGTAGTTATGGGAACGATCGGCTGGTGTCAGCATCATTCATTCCATGTATCCTGACTCAGGGGAAGCTCTGTCTGGATTGCTATCACAGCATACTTTTGGACCTAACTTTAAGTGCCTTTGTAAGATGAATCAGAGCTTTGTTTTGACTCTCCAGAGAAGTTAAATCAGCTACTTGGGTAGAGGAGAGGCAGAAATTAAAGGGAATACAAATGCGAAATCAAAATATCTGAGCTTGTGTCACAAAGGGCAGGACCAAAACAACTGCTGCCTGACATTTTTGCTGCACAGAAAATTAATACACTTTCTTCATTATTTTTTTCTTCGCTCTTGCAAGTACAATATAAAGCCGCTTTCCAGGGAAACCTAGAAACTCTCAGTACTACAAGTTTTGTAATCTTTTCATGTTGCACTTGTCTGATGCCATATGTATGGAAATCTGTCTCAAAACCAATCTGCATACCTAATCTGAATGGCGTTTTTGTTTAGATCTTTCTTATATTTAGTATAATCTGAGAGAAATGGCTGTCTGTAGCTTATAGCACCATGCTCTAACCAACTGAGCTATCACTGGTCAACATGACTGAAAAAAGATGCAAAACAGGAAGCATTTTTTACAGTGGTTATTTGTGCCATGGGAAAAAAAGAATGTCTTTTCTAGGGACATACTCAGAGTCAGTAGTTCTGGCTAGGTTAGCATATTTTTTAAAAAAAACATGGTCACCACTGAATTGTGGTTAGCAATGGTGAGAACCCTCTTTAGATACAGAATGATGTTTGCCAATGTAGTTTTTGGACCCACAGTCACTGGCCTTGTGCCCAGTGAAGTAAATGATATTGCTGACGATAGTCTCAGAAGACTGAGAGCTGCTTTCTGTAACATCGCTGGGAACATCACTGGCATGGGCATGGGATAACATCTATTTCGTGGAAAAATCTTTCTGAAGAAGCCAGTTCCATTGCAAAGAAGAGTCACAACAACTTACAGCTGTGGAGTAATGGTATGCTATATTAAAAAAAAAAAAACTACTTTAATTAAAAATTTATTCATAGGAAGTATTATTTTTCATTTGCTCAATAGTCTATTGTGTCTAACCTGATAAATCCACTCACTGCTTCTTTACAGTATGACTGTATTGGATTCAGTATGCATGAATTGAAAATCCGAGTACTACAGAAAATAGCACAGCATTTAGCCTGACTGCACGCTTGGGGGACAACCTGGAATTGAAATTATTGATCGCTGCAGCTCACGGGGAAGTGAACTGAAAGGTGAATTGAAAAACGCAGACTGTAGTCCTTGGGATTAGCTGAGCTGCCCCACCTACACCGAGTTGAAGAGTAAGGGGCAGCTGAATTCTAAGGTTTGTCACATTTGTAAAGGTGACCAGACACAGCCAAAGCAAGAGCAGTCTTAAAGCTTATTGTCAGTGCTGGTTGCTGGTAAAAGCTCTCATCTCTCTGGCAGCCACCTTTGCAAGACCCACCCTGTTCCTTCCCTGGAACTGCTGCTGGATATATCCCCTGGGATTCAGGGGGAATCACCAACTGTTTGGAATCATTGCTCTTGGAGCTGACGGCAAAAACTTAGCATTTTCAGTTGTTCTCCTGACTTTTTCACCGGGCAATATTGTTTTTAAATCCTACCCCTCAAAAGGTATCTGCCCCCACTTACTGATGCTAAAATGTCAGTAGGGACAGGCATAGAATCACAGAATCATACAATCATTTAGGTTGGAAAAGACCTTTAAGATCATCCAGTCCAACTGTTAACCTAACACTACCAAGTCCACCACTAAACCATGTCCACTTCAGAGGAAATAGGTGAGAGAAATTGTCTTCATTTCCACTTCTGTTGATCTCCTATGGATACATGGAGAGATTTTAACCTGGACTGCAGACTGGTGGCTTTCGCTAGTATTTTGTTGACATTGTTGATTTTTTCTTAGGAGTTAAAAGATCAGACTTGTCTGTAAGGAAATCTTAAATTGGTGAAGGACTTTGAGAGGACAAATGATGCTAATGGACAGAGGTGGAATAATGTGAAATGGCATCATGTTTTTCAGAATATTCCTGGGAAGACCTGCTCTTCTCCGTTTCTGCAAGGGCTGCTCTACCAACAGCAGCACCACCGAGCATTTGTGCAGCATCTTGGTGGGTGGTGTTACCCTGCTGAGAGCAATCACCCATCTATGTCTCTGTTACTCCTTTGTAACATCACAAAAGTAGCCTTTGGAAAGATAGACCATGGACATGTACCCCACCAAGCTTTGAGATTTGATGCTGGCTCAGTGTGTCACAGTTTAATGATACAGTATGCCTTAACAGTATATCCTAATTAACTGATTAAATCTTTCACTGGCATTTTTCCCCCCCTCCCTCTTAATTCCATTAGAGACTGTGCAGAAAGGTAAACTGCATCAGTAAAACCAGACCTAGGCCAAAACATTGAAGAATCATAGAATCCGAGAATCGTTTCGGTTGGAAAAGACCTTGAAGATCATCCAGTCCAACCATTAACCTAACACTGCCAAGTCCACACTAAACCAATTAAGGGTAGCGTAATAATTAATTTCATGTTTCCTGGCTTGGTGGCTGGATTAGGTTTTAATGGAAGGAAAAACTAGGAATCATTAAGGTTGGAAAGGCCCTCTAAGATCATCAGTCCAACTGCCAACCCAACACCCCCATGCCCACTAAACCATGTCCCCAAGTGCCACCTCTGCCCGTTTTTTGAACCCCTCCAGGGATGGTGACTTCACCACCTCTCTA